AGGATTCTCTCTCCCTCTTTCTCTGCCCCTCCTGTGCACTCTCTCTCTCTCTCTCTCTCTCTCTCTCTCTCTCTCTCTCAGGAATAAATAAGTAAACTTTAAAAAATTATCTCCTCTTAAAAATGCTAATTCCCCAGGAAATGGAACGTTGTTAATTTACTTATTTACAGTTAGTAAGAGTAAGCTTGTCAGGTGCTCTTTCATGAGGAAAGCTTTTGATGAGAAATTCTGAGTTAGAGCTAGTAACTAGGTAGTGAGATCCTTAAATATAGTTGTATCTGATTGATATTTGAGATGTCCACCTAGTACGAACCTTCCATATAGCAAGTTCTCGCTACAGGTTTTTTCTATGACTCATCTTCAAGTTACCTTCAAATTCCCAGTAAAGCTGGGAATATACACAACTAAAAGTGGTAATATCTTGGGTGGGAGGAAGAACCAAGGAGGGGTAATCATGTCCGATATTTGGGCTTAACCTAGGGTTTCAGTGAAGAAGTCTAGGATGGAATAGAAACTCCGAATTCAGGAGATTCTGGAAATTGGAATAGGAGGCCACGGGAACAAATTTTATGATCCAAGTTACTAAAAATCCTGATGAGGGCATCAACCTTCCAATAGGTTGGGGCATGGAGTCCTTTGAGCTGGCATTAGCTGACTTTGGGGGGCACGTGACACGGATGGCATCTGGGCTACACCCAGCTGGCATAGAGCTCATTCATTTTCCTTCAATGCCACTCAAATCAGGATAAACCTTTTAATTTTTTTTTAATGTTTATTTATTTTTGAGAGACAGAGAGTGAGCAGGGGAGAAGCAGAGAGAGAAGGAGACATAGACTCCAAAGCAGGCTCCAGGCTCTGATCTGTCAGCACAGGGCCCAATGCAGGGCTTGAACTCACGAACCGTGAGATCATGACCTGAGCCAAAGTCAGACGCTCACCCGACTGAGCCACCCAGGCACCCCGACCTTTTAAATTTGTTTAAGTTTATTTACTTTTGAAAGAGAGAGAAATACAGAGACAGAGTGTGAGCAGGGGAGGGGTAGACACCGAATCTAAAGCAGGCTCCAAGGTCTGAGCTGTCAGCACAAAGCCTGATGCGGGGCTCGAACTCACGAACCACGAGATCATGACCTGAGCTGAAGTCGGATGCTTAACCGACTGAGCCACCCAGGCACCCCCAGATAAACCTTTTAAATGCATTTCCTGAGAGGCAGTATAATGTGGTGATTAGCAGCCCAAAGCACGGCACCAGACTGCTGAGGTATAAATTCCAGTGTGGCTGTGTATGGCTACATGACCTTGGGCAATGCACTGAACTTCTCTGTGCCTCAGTTTTCTTACCTGAAAAATGGGTGTAATAGCAGTTCTCAATGTGTAGGGTGGTTTTGAGGAATTAAATTAGTTAATATACATAAAAGGTTGAAAATGAATCTTGACATATGGAAAGTACTACATGTTTAGCTCCTTTTCCTATTTCCCCAAAGTGATGGGGGGAAAAGGACAGTATTATCATAAGCAGAACCCAAGTATCTGCTCCCTTATTTAACAGATCCAGAAGCAGATGATTCCCTCTGCATCAGAGAGGACCCCCCCGCCCCGAGGAGCATGAACACCCTGGGGGTGCCATGCTGCTAACTGTCCCAGGTCCCATGCCTTTCCTTGCCAGCAGGGCCTCATGTGGACACAGCACCAGACTTGGACCAGCACACTGATGGAGCTGTATTTTCAGGACTTTCCCCTCTCAAATGAAGACGTCATGAGCACAGGGTGGACGTGCTTTTCTTTCCTTCCAGAAACTCCCTGACCATGGCTCCTCCTCTTCCCTGATTATCTACTGATACTTTGGGACAAAATTGAGTGTGATGGGGAGGTGTTTTGGTACTTAATTACAGGTCACCTATTTCAAGAGAAGGGCCTGTCCCAGTGACCAGTGGCCAGGGGCAGGGAGAGTACTGAGGGCTGCAGTTCTCATTGGGTTGGGGCTTGGACAGGAAGAAAGCCCTCACCCCGGGGACTCTTATTCCCATGGTGGGCTGGGTGAGGAGTAGATAGGAGATACTGAGGAAGAAGGGGCCACATGAAGAAGGACCTGTGGTTCACTGTGGTACCACCAGTGCTTAGCTAACCAGCTGGCCACCAATCCAGTGCAGCCCACACTCTGGACCCACATTACTTAGAGTCATCTTGGAGTGTCATCCAATTTCCACGGCTCCCCAAGCACTTCCCAGTTCCCACGTGCCATTATGCCAATAAGGGTAGATGGAGATGGGGCGAGGGGAGGTTTTAGGACCATTGTATCACTGCTATAATAGCATCGGACCCTAAGAGGTAAAATCACCCTTGATTGCTTCTTACTAGGGAATAGGGTAATTGAGAAAAGGTGACAAGGAATAATGCAAAATGTGTTTCTCCCCTGCCTCCTAGGCTTCTCACATCCACAATATAATGAATTCTGCTTATAAAGCACATCATTACTCTTAGGAATTGGTTATTGTTGTAGGCAAGCCATGCCCCTACCCTCTGCTAGGAGTCCTTGGATCCAGTGGGCAAAACATCAAAATAGCAGCAAATTATCTCCTAGAGGCTAAAAAATTCTGTGATTTTCTGTGCTCTAAGATAGTGACAGATTTGATTTTTGACAGACAGGGACAAGGCCTCATAATTGTGGGGCCCTTCTAAATTTTGTGACTATGATTAGAGCCCCCAATCTGTCACTTTGCACCACTCATTTGGAACCAGAACCAAAAGCCTAGTCCCCAGATAGGATAATTTTTTACTTTTTTTTTTTTCTTTCCTAGAAAGAGAGTACTCTGTGATCTTTTTTTGACTCTTTGTCCATAAAACTGTGGTTGAATTATGTCCATTGTCCTTTCAGAATTTCCCAGCATCCAGATATGGCCAACTTTCTATTACACAGGCTTCCATGCAGCCAGGATATTATCTGGACAACATCAAATATCGATTGTTACTTACACTCAGGTTTATCAGGTTTTGTTTGGTTGGTTGGCTTTTGGTAGGGAACAGAAATAGTTTATATTTATTTATGCCCAGTTTCCCCAACCTCCAAATTTTTTTTATATACCTCCACCATGATGACCTCCCTGCACTGGGCTGAACCAGATTTCCCTTAAATTGGTGGCAGCTGTCCTGCAGGAGTAGCATAAAGTGGATTGCCTGGGACTGGATTCTGTCTAATCATGGCCTAGTTACTTAACCTCATTGCCTCCGTGTCCACATCTGTAAAATGAAGATAATAATGGCATCTACTTTGTCAGTTGCTGGAGTACTAGGCATGTTGATACATACACAGCAGTTAATTTGGTGCCTGTCACATACTGAGAACATTAGGCATTAGCTAGTATCTTGTCCCATGCATGGGGCCATACTTGCAGATGATATGCAAGTGAATTCTCTGAAATCTAGACATTTGTCTCGTGGTATGGAGGATGGTTCGCACATTGGAAAGGGGACAATGGTCACTGGTTATCAGGGTGCACTTCTCCTCACTCCCCAAGGATGCATATGAAAAATAAAAGCCCAATTCGTTCATTTTTGTACCCATAAGTACAGGCACAGGGAATTCCAAGGCACAGGGAATTTACCACCCCATTGGGTAGAGAAGTCAGAAGTTGAGATTTCTTTTCTGCTCTGTGACTGACCTTACCATGTAAGCTGACGGAGTAGGAGGCTGGTCTCCTGCACACCAAAGACACTCCCATACTCTTTCAAGAGTGTTTTACCCATTCGGAATATTTATTAAACACCTACTGTGTGCCAGGTACTACTGTAGGTCCTGGATGTGAGGCAGTAAACAAGACAGACAAGGTTTTTGCTCTTTTGAGGCTTGTATCGTCAAGACCCAACAAACTCCAGAATGCTATTAGAACTTCAGTCATCACCTCTTATTCAGTACAGCAGATTCTGAATGACCCCGAATGACCATAAGATTCTGAAGTGTCCTGTGAATCACCCAAAGAGGATGATATGACAGCCACCATAGTTTTGATTATATGCCTATTTTGTTGCATTCAAGTATTTTTGGGAAATAATCTAACACATCTACATTTTCCATAAATACTGAATTAAACTGAATGGCCCATTCCTAGAACCCGTAGAAAAATAGACACCTTTACTTGTACCATTTTGTCAGTTTTCACTTGTTTTCTTTTAAATTTTGTAAATTTTTTTTTTTATTTTTGAGAGAGAGTGAGACAGAGTGTGAGTGGGGGAGGGGCAGAGAGAGAAGACACAGAATCGGAAGCAGGCTCCAGGCTCCGAGCTGTCAGCCCAGAGCCCGACATGGGGCTCGAACTCACGAACTGTGAGATCATGGCCTGAGCCAAAGTCAGACACTTAACTGACTGAGCCACCCAGGCGCCCTGGTTTCACTTGTTTTGTATGTTTTCCTTGTATGTGGGCTTTGGCCTCTCACCAATTATTATTTCCTTTCTGAGCTGCTGGACTGTAAGCTCCACCAGGGGAGGAACCTTCCTAAGCCTGTGCATTTCCCACTGAGGAAGGACATTGCCTGGCCTGTTGCTGACCTGAGTCAGAAGGGCCTGGGAAAATTGAAGGGAGGAAGGGTCTTATCTGCTACCTGGTGATATATGCAAGCCCTCTCTCAGAGCCCTGCCCCGGGAGCTTTTTTTCTGATGTTCGACAGAAAACTTTCATGGGAATGAGGTCCTAACACATTCCTTGGCCTGTGTTTCTCTCAGCTTCTCTGAAATGACCCGATGGGGTAAAATTTCTCCACATTTCTTCCAGCACTAATGATCTGTGCTTCTAGGAGTCCTGGGCAGAAATTTAAAGAGAGTTTGTGAGTTGTTCCTCTTTTTAATCTTGACGGAATCCATCTTGTAGGAAGCCAGGAAGAAGATACTAGGGATGGAACAGACAAAAAAGAGAGAGAGAGAGAGAGAGAAGGGAAGGCAAGATTCTGCCACAGAGGGAGAGCTGGGCAGAAGAAGGGAAAACTCACATATAGAAAAGGACACTAATGATAGGGAAAGAAATTTTATTTTCAAGCTTTTAAGAGAATAATACAAACAACAGAGAGTTTTAAAAAAACCCTAAAAACTAGTTTAAAAAAGTACTTGACAGTGTCCCTTTAATACCCATGGATGGCGCGGCCATTGTGCATTGACAGTGAGAAACTGTGCAGGTGACCACCGCAGTGGCCTTGCTGGCAAGGCCCCAGGAACCAGCAGTCTGGACGGGAGGGACAGTGCTCCCTGACAGGGTCCCTGGGCCCTGCCTCGCTGCATGGGAGGGACCGGGGAGTATGTAGCACTGAGGGATTACACCCTCGGGTGAGGGTCCCAAGTTGCAAGGAATACTTAGATTGGTCTCCACTCCACTCCTTGGGACACATCCAGCCAATTTCTTCCCATCTGCTACAACAGCTATCCTGGGGGGCCCCTGGGTGGGAGGTGCTCTGCCCTAGGGGGCCCTGGGTCTCTGCATGCGCCAAAGCAGGAGAAGGCATGACATTGAGCATGTCCTGGCCATGGGCAGGGTTGGGTAGTTGGGAAAGTCGCTCCTGGATTGACAGCTTTGAAGGCTGAAGCCACAGCAGCAGGACTGTGCTTGAGATACCCACAGGAAATCTGTACTTTTCTCTAGTTGTGTGTGTGTGTGTGTTTCTTGTAAACATCTTTGAGCCAAACCACCAGAAAATAAAGTAACAAGGGCACAAAAAGACACCCATCTCCAAACCTAAACCCTCTTTGAGCCCATCTGAAACTGGGAGTTCCCGGTTTGGAAGGAAGCCGAAATCTCCCTCCCTCTGGGGGCTCACACCAACATCTCCCTCCCTGCACCTTGCCCCAGAGCCCCTAAAGCCATCTGAGTTAGGAATCCTGCCCACCCAGATGAGCCCAGGAGCCACAAATGCCATCTGTCATCCTTGCCAGCCCACACCCATCCCTCTCCCTCCCCACCACTGCCCCAAAAACAGCCCAGGGAGAAACAAACAAACTCAAGGGGAAAACAAGGCAGGCTACAGTGCTTTTCCTTTGCACACTCTTTGCCCCTTTGCATTTTTTCTCCCACCACTTGCGCACACAGGGACGCCACCGCCGCCACCTCACCGTCGCCCTTCCCAAGCCTCCTTTTCTCCCAGGTGCCCTCACCCGAGGGCAGTAATCCCAGGTGGATGGGCACATCTGGGATTTTTGTCCTTGTGTTTTGTTACGTTCAAGCTGTATTGCGCTTCCTTGTTGAGTTTGTACTGGTTCTTCTTGCTCTTGTTGGAGGATGGGGGTTGACCGATTAGAATCACGAAAAGCGCCCTGGACACCCGACTCACTCACTCCAGCTCTGACCCTGCCTCCAGGGCCCCCACGAGGCCCACCACCTTCTGCCTGCCCTCTGCTCCAGCCCCTGGGATGCCACTTTGCCTCCCCACACCTGCTCCCCAGACTGTGGCCTGCCAGGCCTTGGCCCCTTCCTGGCCCAGCCTCCCCATCTCTGTGCATGGTCACGGCCTCCTTTCCAGGTCTCTCCCCTCACACTGTTGTGACCCTCATGACAAGCTCCCGGCTCCCGCCCTGGGGGCCCCGCTGTTCATGAGGTCGTAAGTGACTCAAGATGTGCAGGATGGTGTAAGCACAGTGGTGATCGGACAGAGGGCCTGAGGGGTGGCTGGCCGCCCTGGCAGGGCCTTCCTCAGGGCCGGGGGCACCCACAGCCTCCTCTTCGGAGGAGGGGACATCGGCCTGGGTGGATGAGGAGGTCCGGGGGTTTGTCCTGCCTCCTGACTTTTGATCTTCCAGGTCTTTCGTCCTGTCATAGTTCAGCACTTTCCACTGCTGGTTGACAGCCTGCCACCGTTTAAAGATGCGGTACACAGAGGGTCCCTCGTGCACGATGAGACCTGGAGGGGCAGGGAGGGAGAGAGAAAAGGACAAGAGAGAGACAGGACGTCACTGCTGGAAAAATGGTCTCCCTATGCTTACACACAGATGTACACATTGGGGCAAGCTGGATTTGTATCGGTTTGATTTGTTCTTTTCAAACCTCCCTTTCAGATCTGAGCCCCTGTATGCCTAGGCTTCACGAGTCTTCAGAAATAGAAGGTGGAAGGCTACCACACAAGTTCAGGAAATGGTCCAGTGCCTACATGCAACGCGTTTGCCCACCTCTCCTCCACCCCTCCCACTTCTTGGCTTGACAAAACCCCAAATCATCATCTGTTGAGGCATAATATAAATATATTTTCCTCCCTCTACCATGTAGCCATGGCACCAGGCATTGAGCAGATGTTGAATGAACCGTGTGCTTTCAAAGGCACCATGAAAGATACCAAGGGTCATTCCATACCTGCTAGATGATGTCTGGAATTACATTGGTTAACTCTTCGCTATTTAACAAATAGTCGAATTCTCTTGAAACACACCCCTGGAAGGAGAGCTTTGATACAGTTCTACTGGCCAGAAGCAGTGTAGAGTCAGAAAGAAGCCATACCAGACAACCGGAAGATAAATATTATGTGCCAAGCACTAGGTGTAGTGCAGTGAGCAGGACAGGCAGAGTCCTGCCCTCCAAGAGCTTATATTCTAGCAGAGAGACAATAGCAGGCACACAACCAAACTGATAAGACTATTTCAGGTGATGGCAAATGCTATGAGGAAGATGAAATAGGGTTAAATAGCCACTGGCTGCAGATACTGAGGGTCCTGCTTTATCGAAAGGATGGTGAATAAGGAGGTGGTATTTACATTGAGACATAAATGATGAGAAGAGGGGGACCATGCAAAGATCTGGAGAGAGAGCATGTTGGTGGTAGGAACTGCTAGTGCAAAGGCCAGGAGGTGGGAATGGAATGCACGTGCATCAGAAAGAAGGTCAACGTGGCCAGGGTGCAGTGATGAGCGGGAAGTACAAGGAGATAAGGGGGCACAGAGGGGCACAATATGATGAGGCCTTATAAGCCATGGCAAGGGATTTCTGTTTTGTCCTGAGTATAATGGGAAGCCATTGAAGGGTTTTAAGGGAGGGGTGAGGAGTGATGTGATCTAGTTTACCCTGCAGAAAGTTCATTCTGGCTCCTATGAAACAATAAACTGATGAGTGAGAACAGTAGGAGCAGGCGACCAAGCAGGAAGTGATGTAGTGATTCAAGCAGGAACGGATGGTGGTCTCTACCAGGGTTATAGCAGTAGGTTGCATGAAAAATTGTGTGGTCAGGACGTATGTAGAGGCAGAGCTCACAGGCTTGCTGACAGATAAGTTGTGAGTCAAGTGAAAAATCTGGACAGCCCAGGAGCTTTTGGCCAACAATACACTAGTGGTGTGCCGTTTACTGAGATGTGGATAGCATGAGGGCAGGGGGGGGGAGGATTTATGTGGTGGTGGCCATGACTATATTAGTTTCCTACTGTTGTTGTAACAAATGACCACACACTCAGTGGCTTAAAACACACAAGTGTTCTCTTATAGTTCTGGAGACAGAAGTCTATAGTGAACGTATCAGAGGGCTGGTTCTTTCTGGTGGCTTTGAGAGGAGAATCCATCTTCTTGCCTTTAAGCTTCTAGAAGACACCTGCATTCCCTGTCTCTTTCCTACATCACACCACCTCTTTGTTCCAATGTCACATCTCCTACCCTTCTGTCATTGTCTCTTTCTGCATCTCTCTTATAAGAACCTCGTGATTACAAGTCCACCCAGATGACCCAGAATACCCTCCTCATTTCAAGAGTCTTAAATTAGTCATGTCTGCAAGTCCCTTTTGCCATAAAAGGTAACATTAACAGGCTCCAAGGATTAGGACCTGGATCTTTGGGGGGTCATTATTCAGCCTACCACAGTGATTAATAGTTATATTTTGATTATGGTAAATTTAAGATGTCTGTTAGAAATGTCACTGGAAGGGCCAGGTATACAGTTGAACATATGAGTCTGAAAGTTAGAGAGAGGTCTGGCCTGGAGGTAGAAGTCATCAGTGTAGAGGTAGAATCTGAAGTCTCAGGAATGGCCCAGGAAGGCAGACAGATTAGAAAAGAGAGACAATGACAGATTCCTGGGCCTTTTGATATATAGAATTTTGGCGGAGGTAGAGCCAGCAAAGGAGGTCCTGAATGAGCAATAAATGGCATAGAAGCAAGACTAGCAAGTGTAAAGACCCAGAAATCTAGAGAAGGACACATTTCAATAAAAAAGAGTGTGCTAACTCTTAAATTCCGTTGAGAAAACAGCTCATGTGGAATGAGGGGTGACCACTGCCTTGGTGGGCACAGGTGGAAGGAGGTTGATAGAAAATCAAGTAGTTCTCATCCAAGTGTCTTTTTCTTCTATGATTCATCAGTTAAGATGGAAGGGATACAGGAGGAAGTGTTGAAGATTATTGGGGAGAAGAAAAAGGGGGAAATGATTATCTTAGAAAAGTGGGAGACTGAATTTACAAAGCAGATATGGTAGAATTGTCTGACAGTGCTCAGCAACCATTTGAGGTTTGTGGCCACAAATTTAAGGTGAGTTGTATAGTTTTTCTCCATAACTTCAACTGCTGGCTAGGTGCACCTATGGAGTAAGAAAGTTGGGTTTCATTAGTGTAGACTTTTTCTGTGAAAGAAAGACAAGTAAGAGAAGACATAAGATTTACGGATGTTGGCAAGGGAGGGATTATTAAACTGACCCATGGAGTCTGAGCTGGAGAGGAGGAAAGGGATACACAAAAGTGATAAAGAATAATGAAAAAAGGAAAAATGGAAAGTAATAGGGTCAATGCCAAGAGTTCTCTTTGAAGTTATAGAATTGCTAGAGTCAGTGAGCTACAAGGATAGGGGTGTGGAGTGATGGGCAGAGCGGGATGTTTAAATCCAGATTTTGGAAGTGGTATTGTTCTTGGTGATGATGAGGTCTAGGGAATGTCCACTTGAGCAGAGGCTGAGGTGGGCTAGAGGAAAAGGCTTGTGGAGTAAAGAGATAACCAAAGAGTTGGACAGGTTATCTGTATCAGCCATCCTCAATGCTATTAGGACAAATGTCCCCTTTTTATAATAGGTATAGTTTAATATTCCCTTTCCTATCCTGAAGTGAAATTCATAAGGTAATATAAGCTACTATGATTTCTTTTTTAAAAATAAATTAATATAATGCACTGACAAATAATGTAAAAAAGAACAAAGGAGAGGTCATTTAGACCAGACAATATAAGTTTCAGCATAAATTCTAGGGCAAAACTACATTAGAAAACAAACAAAAACCTCAAACATTTCTGAAATGCCCCCCTAGGCCTCCACTGAGAGGCACTGATCATAGAGATGCTGAAGACAAGAATAGTGGGAGGGAGTGCATGAACCAGCTGCACCCAGGAATGGGAGGAGTGAGTAGGCAGCCAACAGCCAACAGCATCAACAAGGGGAAAGGGACAATCAAATATGATGATATGCACTTCAAAGGGGCTGGGGCTTCTGAAGGATAAAGGAAGAGAGGTGGTTTGGAAGGGGTGATGGAGAACAAGAAGGATGCGGACCTCACCTCCACTCCCCGTATAATACAGCATATGGGAAAAAAAGCAGCTACCACTTGAGAAAGCAAGACACAGTGTCCTCAGAAGAAGCTGTTTCCATGAAAGGAACACTCAGAGAAGTTGCTGGTGACAGGCCATGACATCCAGAGGAAGGGCTGGGAAGATGAAGCCAGCTAAGGGATGGGCAGAATAGGAAAGTGATGATTGTCCATATTGTGAGAGTGGTGCAGGAAGCTGGGCCCTGTGATGGGGAGTGAGATGACTCGGGATTCACCCTGCAGCAACAGTCAGTGTAGGGATGGCTGCTGGCCTGGCCTCTGGAGGGAAGAGCTGACTCACAGGAGCAAACAGTGATGAGTCACTCCAGCATCCTCAATGTCAAGCAAAGAGACCAGATGGAAACCTCTCAGTGCTCCTCCAACCTTGAACACACTGTGATTCTAGGAGACAAGATAGCCACCCACCACCGCTCCTTCTTCCAGTATGACAATAGTTCCTGAGATTGCACTCTGGCCACATGTTTTCAAAAGTTTGTTGGAGAGACCATCTCCCTGTGACCCAGTTGTTCCTAATCTTTTGGGTTACATGCCCCTTTGAGGATCTGATGAAGGCTAAGGACCATCTCCCTGGAACACAAACCAGACATAAGAATTTAGGATTCATATATCTTCTGAAGACCATCTATGGATCCCTATTTGTGGCCTGATTCTAGACAAGGGACCTCCTCTCTGCCCCTTGTCTCATCACTCTCTCCTAGTGTACCGACCCTCATCACTTCCTTCAACCTTGTGAATATGAGTCCTGTGGCACTGCTTCATTCATATGTTGATTAGTTCCACAAGCTCTTTTCCCTGTGCGGTAAGCCCCTCGAGGACTGAGTCCAGGAATGGTTGAGGCCTGGGCAGTCAACACAGTAACAGGAGTTTAATGAAGCCTTGGTGATGATGGAGGAGATAGGGGCCTCAGGGAGAGAGAAGCAGAATCTTTTGAAGCCCCAAACTAACTCTTTCCAATAAGAGCCATACACTTGATTCTTAATTAGCTTCTTGATCACACAATTTTACCCTGATTGAAGAGGGTGGCTTAAATTTTTGGTCTGAATGATGCCTTCTAATTATCTAACTGTCTAGTGATCAGGAAGTAATTAAACCACTTTAATGGATAGGAGGCTGAAGGGGAGAAAGTGCACCTGTTTTTGTAGATAATGCTTGTTTGGCAAAAGTGGGAAAAGCACAAACTACCTTATTTGCATCCACTCCCCTTAGTTCTTCCTCTGCTTCCCACTCTACAAATTATTGATTCCTTGGCTTGTGGAATAAAAAAAAAAAAAAAAAATGGAGGAAGATGGGTAGGGCTCATCTAATTGGGACAGGTGAAAATAGGCAAGTTGAAGAGTTGGGAG